TAATAGGTACGCTAGTGACTCACCCTAGCTTCACTCGGGTGTGACCCTAGCTACGTTTTAACGTCTAGTATAGATTTGCCAAAAACAAGATATTTTCCCGCAGTAAAAAGTATCCTGTATGTTGACCCGGATAACCAGATATCATCATACCAAATTTCATTAAAATCTGACAGACAAACAGACAGACAGGCAGACAAACAGACAGACAGACAAACAAAAATTATAAAACTTTATTGACGATTAATAAAACTTATAATACGGAAGACTTTGCTAATTGCTTGATTAGGTTGATAGTTAAAATTGTCATGCATATAAAAGGTCATAGTAAATAATATATGTATTTATATAACTGGCACCATCAAAGCGAAGATCACGGGTGAGATAAACATCAACTGTTAGGTTAACCAAGCAATTTGTATTGACCTTATAGATGATTATTTTACTAACATAACACAACATAATTTAAAAAAAATATTAGCATTCGGCACCCCTTCTCTATATAAACTACTAGCGACTCACCCTCGCTTCGCTCGGGTTCGTCCCTAGGTTGATTCTACATACAAACTTTCATCCCCAGTTTCATCCCCTTAAGGGATGATTTCTGGGATAAAAAGTATCCTATATCCTTCCCAGAAATGATATTGTGGTAATGAAGTGAAAAAAGGGTAGTGGTAGTCCAGTGGAAAAACAGCACTGGTAGCTCAGTGGTAACGCGCTCGCTTAAAAAATCAAATCTAGATCAAAACTCGTATCTCGCACCTCTGATATTTTAATGTGTGAATTATTTTCAACATAATTGAACCTGCATGTCTTAGAGATCTTAATTCTATTTTAAATAATAAGACGTGACGTCTGCTAACCTGAATTTGCGAAGTATGATGGACTATCGTACGACGACAATAATATCGATGGCAACTCATGTTCAATGTTGAGCTGTGTGGAGACTGAACGGATTTTCTTAATTTTTTGCTAAGAACACTCTTGATCAGGTCACCTTTCAAAAAAAAACTAAATCAAAATCGTTTCATCCTTTCGGGCGCTACGATGCCACAGATAAATATGCTAAGTTTATAATAAAAAGATTTTTGGGTCGGGGGTTAAAAATGTGTAGTATTTAAAAATCAAATTGAGAATATCATTGGTTATTCAAAAATTGGCCGGACTTTAACACTTTGTGCATATTTCATGCGTTAGTTTCGTTCAAAAATAGCACAGCGAGAACGTTAGTTAAAATTCGTGAATTTTACACTACAGAATATTGAACAAATAAACACACCTTGCTATCGCTTGCTTTTAGCGGGTTATAATACAGGTGGGTAGAAAGTTTTATGATTTTAAGACCAGGCAACATAAAACCGAAGAGTCAAAACGATGCATTTGACAGCCAGCTGCCATTTTTTCTGTGTATTACAGTTTCCATTTTAAAAGTTATATTTTGTTGCAAAAATTTGTTTTAACATTCACAAAATATTTGAACCTCACTTTAATTTTCAAGAGTTGAATATGAAGGCAACATAGCAATTTCTATTTAAATTAAGTTATCTTCATAATTTTTTTAAAGGATCTATATTAATCTGACTCAAAAATAAGACAAAACATAGAAAAAATACACCGAAAACATAGATCTTTCATATTATATTATTTATTTATAAATATATTATAAAAATAGAAATGTGACGTAACTACTGTAGTTGAAAAACAAAACGATGTGCGCGTCATGTAGTCATGTATGCAAAGAAAATATGTTTCATCTCACCGACATTACTGCCTGCAGTCTGTGTATAGTTGTAAAATATATTTATTATCATCCATACAGATAAATAAAATTGAAGTGTCTATTTGTAATGTCAGAATAATAGCTTTTTACTAACTGCATTTGAGAAAAAGTATATATATATATATATATATATAATTTTTTGTATGTCTGTCTGTTTGTTCCGGCTTATCTCCAAAACGGTTGGACCGACTTTGACGGGGCTTTCATTGGCAGAGAGTCTATAACCTTAGTCTCTCCCGTGACCATGATTGCTGTAAAGAATTCGCAACGTCGGGAACCAAAAATCAAAATAAATCCGCGAAACAATCCGAAAATATAGTTTTATTTAAAATCCATGAAATTGTGAACAAAATCGTACCGAGGGTAAATCGCTAGTAATTACTATTTGCATAAACATGAACCCGGAAATTGGGAAATGATAATAATTATTTGACGTATAATCTTAGATAATTTATATAAAGCTACTTTTCTCGACTATTTAGTATCTTCCAAAACAAATCACTGGATTGGAATGTAAAATATTGACAGACTCCCACAAAGACTTAAATAACATTTAGGAAATGATTTTTTGTGTAAATATCTACCCGCTTCGAGACTGATATTAATCGGTAATCAAATTACTGAATTGAGTCTTAGTCTATACTAATATTAAAAAGAGGTAAAGTTTGTAAGTTTTTGACGTTGTAGGGGGTAATCTCTGCATCTACTGAACCGAGTTAGATAAAATTTGGTAAGAAGATAGTTTGAGACCTTGGGAAGGACATAGGATAATTTTATCCCGGAAATCATCCCTTAAGGGGGTAAAAATGGGGATGAAAGTTTGTCTGGGGAATCAAGCTAGGGACGAACCCCCCCCCCCCCAACGTGCGTTCACCTTGTCGTGGTGGGGGGGCTCAGTAGTAGTAGCGAAGCTAAGAAACGCACAGGGAGGTTGCCCACTTCGGTGGGCGGTGGGAGGTGGCCCTCTTCGGGGAGTGGTGTACCTTGCGGGTTGCTCCTGGTACTTCTCTGATAGCAGAGTGGACCTTGGAGCAACCCCATGGCTGTGGTGGTCTGCTTCGGCAGACCTGCCGTCGGGGCGTCGTAGTTGAATGCGTAAGCGATCCTGCGACGCCCCATTAAGACGGGGAAAGGTTTTGTTGGGTTTTAGTGGGTAGTACTGGCTGTATTACGCCGGTGAGTCCCACAAGGCGTGCGTAAATGCATTTCCCAACGTTAAAAAAAAAAAAAAGGGACGAACCCGAGAGAAGCGAGGGTAAGTCGAAGATAATAAAGAGTCAATACGAATTCGTTTCTTACTGTATATGCAAAGTTTTAGTTAAACAAAAGTATGTATATATGTAGATAGAAACTCAAATAGAATTAACATGATTGTGTTCTTCAATATACATTATATATAAAAAGCTCTAAAACATCGTTTATTTTCCAAACAGTTTAAAAGTGGGTTAGTTACAAAAATTCCCAAAGTGGCCAAAAACACAATACTCGATAAATAAATCTGCAGTATTCGGTCGCAGGAGATCCGATCTAATTTGTCAAACAGAGCGTAGTCACTCTAGCGTGAAATTCCAGAGAAGGTTTAAGAGTTACGTTATAAGAGTTATAGTTTCATTAAAATAGAGGAATGGTTTTAATGAAACGATATGCATGAAAATGCTTTAATAAAATGACAATATTTAAAAAAAATTATTCTTCGTTCTTTATTTGTTTGTATATATATACATAGTTACGTAGTGAACACCTTGTATATAGATATAATATCAATATATATGTAGATAGACTATCTCACTTTTTTTAATTTAATGGCGAAAAACTTAAAAATAAAACAGTCTGGAATTTCGAGGAATTCGGGAACAATTAAAAGTGCTTTTTTTCTTTAGGATTTTTGTATAAATTTAAAGCCCTCAGATATTTATTGAATTTCCTCGTACTTTTATAATTAATTGGGCAACTATTGCATAGTTGTACATTCGGACTTGTAATTGATTGGCCTCATTTACTACTTCGACAGTAACAGATTCGTTATTCGCATTGGTTAAAAAAAGGTAACATAATACCAATCGTACACTCAAAGGGCAGACAGTGAATCTGTATAATATATTATATACATATAAAAATCGATGTATGTATGTGTGGACTTCAAAACGCCTGGAATGATTTTGATGAAATTTTCAGGCAATCTCCAAATTAGACCAGCGTTCAGCTTCCTATGAAGTTTGGTAGCTATAGAATTTTTGAGTGGGGTCGAAGCCGCGTGTACTGCTAGTAATATAATATATAACATGTAATTTAATAATTATTATAGATTAATAAAAAACAATTAATTATAAATTAAAATCTATGAAGTAATTAATTATATGAATTCTTGTTATTTACTCGTAAATATTTGTAATTATTTATATTTAATAGATTTATTTATTCATACGGTGTTATTATTCCGAAAGCTGTAAATCAATAATTTATGACTTGCAAATAAAGTTCTTGGTTTTTAAATGATTATGCTATATTATGTACGAGTAAAATGATAATAATATTTATCATTATATTTGTAATATATTACATTGATTTTGTTATAATGTAAGCCGTTGTTGGCTGCAACTGTATTCGTGAGATTAACCACTGTCGACGAGATTTAAGAAAAAACAAATTTGCTTAGTACGCTCGTCTGAGGGCACGGCAGAGCCTCTGCTAAGTCACGCAAGAAAGACACAGCCTTACCAAACTTTTCTCGCAAAGCAAAATCAAATTACACTTGAATAATAAACAAAGGGCTCAGCAGCGTTCGTTAAGCCATTTTCAAACGTTAAACATAAATGTCGTGCTCTATTTGGGTACTAAATTTCATTCAAATTCGTCCAGCCGTTTTAATGTGAAGGTCTTACACTAAAAATTATGTACGGCCTCTACAAGAGAACTCCTAGACTACAACTTCTACTTCTTCAGATTTATTATTTAGTTTGTTAATAATAATTTTTAGACCCTATTGATGTTTTCGTTTCTAAAAAATAGTTTAAATATAATATTTTTTAAGGTTTTCATAATTTTAGTTTAGAATAAACATAATTTCAACGATCAAATATTCATTTTATTGTATTTTTGTAAAAGGAATTTTATTAGGATATTCATTGGTGCCTTAAAATAATTCAGTTATAGTAATAATAATAAGCAATAGGTACTAAAATTATTTAAAAAAAATTTATGTGTATAAACTTAAATAAAATCAGTTTAATTTTAGTTTAGCATTAAAAATTGTCAAATTCTTGGTAATAAAATAAGCAGCTAGTCCTAATATCATTAAAAGACATATTACACACACCGATGATATTAAAACTAATTTTAATTCATAATAGTCTATCCAGGGCAAATGTGCGCCATGAGCTTTTAAGTGTAGGGCGCCTTTATGTCGTAAGACGTATTCTGTCCACCACACAGCTCTTTCTAATGGGGAAAGAGGTTGATCTTGCATTATACTGTACAAGTTCCTCACGTTTTCTTGGTAGCTAAAACAAAAGTTCTAATTAGTATTATTATTGAGACTGCTATCACTTGACAAAAAAATATACAATTTAATTCAAATATTTTAAAAATAATAATAGATATTTGTTTTAGTTTTTGAATGCCTTATTATATTTTATATAGATAAGCAAGATAAATAAAGGTTGTATTATTATTATTTGTATCTCATTGGATTTCATGGGCTCGAAGGAGCCCGGTCTTTGGAAGGCTTGCGTGGGGACATTGGTCAACACGTAGAGGCCCCTTAAGAGATTAAAATCTGTTTAATATGACCCATCAGCCGGGATCCATCTCTAAGTAACTCATAGGGAATTGCTCAAAAATGGTCTCCGGTTAATGCATTGGGACTATGGAAAATATGGAAAACTAAAAAAACTGATCTATTGGATGAGACATATCCTATCCTGAAACTATATAAAAACGCAAAATTATTATTGAAATGGCAATATGCCAAAAACCAGCCTTTCTACTTATATTTTGGCTTTCAGAGTTCCAATCCAATTGATTAGACAATTAATATGTATGTGTTATTATTCTTATCCTTTAATAACATTAGTTTTCATTTCTATAATTTGAATCGATCCAAAGATAAAAACTAAAGCTTCCTATACTTTATATTGACCTTTGGTGTAATAGCTTGACTGATTGATTTGATTAATTAATTATTATTTACTTCAAGGGAAGCGGGTTCAAATCTCAGGTCTTCTGATATTATCATGTGTGAATCACTTTCATGATTAATACCACTTATCTTACGGTGTAGAAAATCATTGTGAGGATTGATAGTGAAGTCCGCCACCGCCAATGATGGTCTATGACTTGACCCCCATCGTATTTTACAGAGGCCCGTGCAGCCCCAGCAGTGGGACGTTAAAAAGGGTTGAATATATATTTACCTGGAATTGCTAACGATAGTAATAATAGCGCTTTTTAAATCACCCTCTGTAAGCGTTTCAAAATTAAGCTGAATCCCTATATTAAGCTTAATATACTGTTCAGTATTAAACCATTGATCTACAAGCATTGGTACTCCAATTAAAGGCACTCCCGCAGTAATAGCTTCATCAGTTGACTGTAAGCCACCTTGCGTTATAAATAATTTAATTTTAGGATGATCTGAAATATAACAGTGATAGGTTTTAGATTCAACAAACATATCGTATAATATTAAATGCGAATTTTTTGTGTATATAAGGTATATTTATTTCGTGTATCTCAGAAACGGCTCTAACGATTTGGATCAAATTTTGTATTTAGACAATGTTTGCCTTCTGAGTTTATCTATATCGGTGTCTTTTTTCACAAAAAAAATTATAACTACATAATAGAGCCTTTTCCATCTGCTCTTATGCTGATAATGTCAAAGAGCGCCATCTTGTAAATTTTTGTGGTACTTGCATTGTCGCCAATGGATAATAACTTAATGAATGAGCCCATATAACGAGCGAAGCTCAGTCACCCAAGTACTACCCAAAAAAAAAGTTGTGTACGGGAAATAATATAATTAGCAATTAATTTTATTTGAAGTGCGTACAACCCTTTGTATTCTAATCATTTGAAGTCTACATATAAAAACGGTAGTATCAGGATAAAGCGACAGAAAATTCAATTTGCTGGAACATTCTTGACGGTTGAGTGAACAGACATCAGCTTAGTGCGTTATATTAATTTAGTCTCCTTCACTTTCTGCGGTATCTATTTGGTGAAATTTTTTAAGCGAATGTCTTGTTCTATATGTTTTATATAAGAAACGTCCTTTTATAATTCTGTGATAATACTATTTGTTGTGATAGATATTTATAAACTGAATATATTATACGCAAGTAAAAAGCAATTATATACATATAACAACTCCACGTTTGTTTGTTTAGTACACGACTATTAAATATACACTTAGATATACGAACGTATGTAAAATAGAACATTCAACTTATATCTCAAGTTTATACTAATCCAATGGAAATGAATATCAGTTATGTAGCCTGAATAAAAAACTTGATTGGTCAAAATAATAGAGGATTTCGCTCTTCTCTTCTTCGAAAATCTATTTATATATAATGCGTGTTCTTTTATAATTTTTCTTTATACAGCAATACTAGTAAATAGCTGTATTTTTGTATCTTGTACCGATAAGATATTAAAGAACTATGAACATAAAGTTATCTTTTACAGAATACATTAAATATATATAAAAGCAGAGTCAAAAGTACAAATGTTATATAATATTTAATAAACATATTGCATGTCAACGTCGTTAATACTTGGAAGTTAATTATATATTATTCTGTCTATATCCATTTGTGAGTCTATATTATTTAAATAAATATACATATACATAAAATGTAAAAAACATGGCTTATCTATAATTATAAAGTAATTAAAGTATACTATTTATGTTCTTACCACGTTATACCATGATTTACCATAGCATGATGTGGTACTAGACCTAGAATTTAATTATATGTAAATGCTTTGTAAACTTCTATTAAACGAATTTTTACATCTCATCATTGCTAAGTGAACAAAGTATTTATCGTAACTCTTTCATTATACTACACGTGGTGACATTTCCGATTAAAATATAACTATACTATGACACTTTGTGAAATATAAATACACAATTTTCGGTTTACTAATTACATTGATATGTTGCGAAAATGTATTGTGAAAAAAAAACTTACTTAGTAAATCAGATTGTGGATACCATTTAGCAATTTTTATATTTTTAGGACAATCCAATAACTCGTCCTTATCCCATTTCATTAAAACGTCATATGGTAGTTGAGAAAATACATTTATAAATATTTTTAATTTTTCTGGAGATAATAAGGATGGCTTTACATTCGTGCCAAAACTCATATAAATAACACCATTCTTAGACGAATCTAGATAAGATTTTAAATCCTGAAAAAAAATGTTATAAAATTAATTAAAAAGACATAATATATAAATAGTTAATTTTAAAATGATTACAGATGGCGGGCTTAAATATTTACTCAGGATTTTTTTTCCTCATATTTTATTATCAGAAAATAAATTAATATTTGGTGCAGTAATAAATAAATGATAGTTCTGTATCAATAATCAAATATTATTATAAAAATAAAAGAAAAATTATATTATATACCTTTGGTAATTCCTTTGGTTGATGTTGATGTAACCCTCCTAAATATACAATATTAGGAGGAACAGGACGATTAAGATCCCAGAGTGGATGTACGTTCAAAAACAGCAAGTGAACATTTTTCTTCAACTGAGACAATTCAGGAGTCAACGGGCCGAAAAGATTTTTCAATAATTTATTTTCTATTACTTCTAGTTTATCATAGAAATTTAAATATGTATAATATAATTTAAGCTGTGAAATTTTTTCCGACATTGTCATGTTGTAAAAGTTTTGTAAAATTGAATAGGGATAAATGAGTGGATGTGAAGCAGCTCCCATAACTTCATACGTTCCAATAAATCCAGCGAAAGAACTAAATTCAATTATGGGTGCATCATATAAATAAGAAAAGCTCAACGCTAGTCTGGCACAAGATTCTGTAAATATAAGATCGAATTTCTTCTTCTTATCAAATATAAGTTTTTGCACTTCAGATGTACTCACTTGAGCTTCAAATACTGCTACTAATAATCTTAGTCCCAGTTTAACTTGATCAACAAGATCATCTGAGTTGCCTTTTTCAGCTTCGAGAAATGTATTCCAAATATTGTAAGATATATCATGAACATCAATTTCTGTGAGATTTTGAGGAGCTTTACCCTTAGAGTATGCTGGATCGGGTGTTATCACAGTAACTTCATGTCCACGCTTAGCCAGTTCTTGCATTAGAGGTCGAAACACTACTTGATGACTTATTGATGGCGTAGGAAAAACTCCTAATATTCTTTTTGATTCATTTGTAGCAATAAAATAAAATAATAGTATAAATATTTTATACATTATATTCGTTAAATTAGAATACTGAAGTAGCTAGATGGAAATATATTATAAATTACGTAAAGTGGTATTTATAATGACTTTATTTATAATAAAGGCTATCTAAGAAAACTACTATCGTCGCGTATGTTCCACTGTCATCATTGAAATGGTAGGCTAGAAACACATTATAACATTCTTTATATACATACATATGCTAATATAATACTAGCTTTCCGGACGGATCTGCCTTTGAATTTATATTTCGTAAACGACGGCACAATCACTTTAATTGTTCTAGCTCTTATATACAGATTACTAGCAGAACCCGCGGCTTCGCTCGCGCTAAAACTACAAAAAAACTCTAAAAAGGTAGTTTCATACAAACTTTTATCCCCTATTTTACCCCGTAGGATAGGATAGGATGGGATATATAGGATGAATTTCGAAAAATGCTAAAACACGTATTTATTTAATTTTATTGAAGAACATTAATACCAAGTTTCAAGTAATTCTGGTCATAAATATTTTTTTATGGTATTATAACGTGTTTTTCCGTGGGAATTAGATAATTTCCCGCGATTAAAAGTAGCCTATGTCACTTTCCATTCTTCTAACTATCTACTTCACACCAAAAATCACGCCAATCCGTCACTACGTCTCGATGTGAAAAAAGTACTAACAAACAAACATACTTTCACATTTATAATATTAGTATGGATGTTTAGAAAAACCACAATAAAATGCCACAGTAAAATTTTAATATTTCACCAACATAAACTTAACTAGCGACTCACCCTCGCTTCGCTCGGGTTCTTCCCTAGGTACATTTTAAATTAAAATGGATATAGCATCCTTAAGAGATAGACATATGCCATCGCGGACTTTTCTGTAGACCTATATAAGATACCTACACAATTTCACCATACATTATTTTGTTATATCTCAAAGGGTTTAGGCAGCGTTTTCGTTGAAAGCTCCCAGACGGTTTTTTTTTTCCGACTCCTCCAACAAATAACGTTATATTTTAGCCAATATATAGAAAAACTTAACAAATTATATACTAAAATCTTCCTCTTGAATCACTCTATCTATTAAATAAACCGCATCAAAATCCATTGCATAGTTTTAAAGATTTAAGCATACATAGGGATGCTCAGTATACAGTATATATATATATATATATATATATATATATATATATATATATATATATAATATTATTATGTATCTTAACTTGCCTTTGCGAATAAGGTGTTTGCTAACAAAATTCTTTTGTAACAATAATTATAAAACGTTTGTATTAATACAATGTATGTATGTATGTATTCAGCCCTTTTTAACGTCCCACTGCTGGGCACGGGCCTCCCTTCAATACGAAGGGGATCTGGCCATAGTCCACCACGCTGGCCAAGTGCGGGTAGCATTTATTACACACCATGAAAAATGTTCCAAGCAAGTTGGGAGGCATTTCTAAGAAAATGTTGCAAATGGTCACCAAATTTGAAGCGCTAAGAATTGACTTTATTTTTGATAGCAGTCTTATAAATCATCTAATTATTACCCAAGTATTATATATAAAAATCAGCTTTTATACTATAACGTAAGTAGAATTATGATTTCATGAAAAGGGTGTCTGGCAAGGGTTTGCCACGATGTTAAGTGTCTGGCATTGAATGATGTGATTTTTAATAATATTCTGAAGGTAATGCCAAAAAAATCACACTTTATTATTTGACGATTTTACACACCTTTAGTACCGTGTACCTGCCAAAGCCACCATAGCCTGAACTTCATAATGGTCCATCGTTCTTATCTTTGTTGGGAGCATGCGCTGACAAACTTTCAGCTTTTATAAAATGACGAAGGTCTGGCGTTCACAGGTTCTTAGGCCAATAGTAAATGTATCTAATATATTACATCGTTCTCCTGATTGCGTCTAAGTCCATATCGTCTAAGCAGTCAGTTATACTCGATTTTGTTGCCAGAAGAGACTGGTTCCGAATTATTATTTTTATATTTTTTAATAACTATGTACACAAAATGTTTATAGATACTTATTTTCTCAGCTGTTATACCCACAACAACATCTTTGAATAAATAACAAGGTTAAGGCTACGATGGCACACTATACGTCACGACTTTTTAAATTTTGTTAGGTTATCAACTTCATTGCATTTTTAGAAATGTTTAATCACACCAAAAATATTTTTACGTAAATTTTTTCCAAGACGAGACCATATGGTTCGCACTGTCAAAAAGTTATCAGGTCTCATGTAGAGCCAAGTTTCTAACTCTACACGCCGTAACTCTACAAGCCCTAACTTCACAAACTCTACACCTTACTCAAAATATGTTATATGGCTTGGCCGTTTTGCACGAGTCATTGGCGTAAGGTGAGAAATTTGTTCTTGTAATAGCAATAATTTTTGTATATCTCGATATTCAAGCATATAAATTAATATTTATAGTTACATAATAATCACAGTAGTTTATTGTATAAATAAAAAAAAGAAAATGTTGTTTAAATTGTAAATACATTTATTTTGGTTGCAACAAATGAAACAAACAAGGATTTCTAAAAGAATCTTTCTAGGTACCTAATAGTAGCCTTTGTTTTTCGCGAGGTTATAGTTCTGTATAGTAAATTTCATCCAAATCCGACCAGTGTAAGTAACTAACAAACACACACACGCATAATATATTTAAAACTCCGAATGTTCAGTGAACTAGTATTGGGGTTGAATCCTTCAAATTACGCCTGTCAGTCTTATAAAATTTTATTTACTAAAGGTCAACTACAAACCAACGACTAATAGGCTAGTAGTAATATAATAATAAGTATTTATTTCAGATTAATTTATCTATAGTAAATAATTGCTTATATTTATGAACACAGTTCAATTTAATAATAAAACATACATCTAACGAAAACTTTATCTCCGATACTTGAGCGGTGGCTATTGACTGTGTGCAGTCACATTCAGTGCCCTAGCATCGGGGAGTCATGCGGTCTGCTAATGCGCTTTGGTTGCCAATGGTACTGTCACGCATGCGCTGCATCATAGAGGCACATCGTTCCGCATGATTGTACTAAAGCTGCCAGTACGAGCTTCAGCCATCATGCCTGATGCACTACAATATCGCGGCAGCCCCATTAGCACTCTAAATGCATTGCTATATTAGACGCGTAGGTCGTTGTATTTCATCAGCCGCGTATAGCTAGCCCACAAGCTGCATGTATAAAAGGTTTGACAGTACGCCTTAGACAGCGTGATCTTGACGTTGTCAGTACAGTATGCAAACAAACGAGCTAAAATATTACAGCTAAGCTAATGATTTGGCATAAAATTGAAATATCTCGCGATTCCTAAATATAAGAATATTTAAAGAAATGCTAGAGTAACAAATTCATTGGAAATAGGTCATTCAAGTGAACAGTGCATATATTATCAGTAAATTAATTAAGAACATCTATTATTGTGGTATATTGATAACATTTGGTTAACCTATGTCGCGGGAACTAGGAGTTATGTACAATGCACATTGCACAGCATATAAAATATATTTGATTAATTACGACAAAAAACTTTTTAACAAAAAAATAAAAACCGACTTCAAACAAAAGCACTAAAACCTTTTTAGTGTAGACAGTAGTAGCAAAGTAAGAATTCTAAAGTGTTAGGCTTGTCAAACCAAACAAAGTAAGCCCAAACTCAAAGTATCTACTATTATTCGGTGAAGAGTTCCACCTATCCACCTATCCTTCAGATCAGGTCAACAATACCGAACCACTGTACTATCAACGGAAATAGAAACACTTGCAAAGTTTCAAGTCAATATGACAATTAGAAGTAGGTCAAATTCATTATTAGCTATTTTTCCGCCCTTAGGGGTGGTATTTTTTTTTGAAATTTAAATAGGACCAATATATATATATATATATTATATATATATATATATATATATATATATATAATAGTATACCCTTTCAAACAAAACAAAAATTGTCCAAATCGGTTAATAAATTACGAAGTTCTGAGGTAACAAACATAAAAAAAAAAAAAAACATACAGTCGAATTGAGAACCTCCTCCTTTTTGAAGTCGGTTGAAAATGTAAGTGCAAATAATTAATACGAAACAAGTTATATTATAATTATAATAAGCTATAATATATTATACATAATCATAACATTCTATACACACATACAGTTTTTAGTTTTCCTTAACTTTTGATTTACGAATATTTAATTTTGACATGGCGTAGTATAAAATTGATAATACAAATATTTTTATTGTTATTGATACTCCTACTAAAAGTATTACTAATTTTAATTCATAGTATTCAGTCAAGTCCATGTGAGCAGCAGGTGTCTTTAGATGCAAAGCGCCGCCGTGTCGTAGAACATACTCTGTCCACCATATGGCTCGCTCTAGCGGCGACTGGGGTTGATCAAGCATAATATTGCGAAGCTTAATAATATTTTCACGATAGCTGAAATTAAAATGATTTTTATTTAAAATGGGAATTTGGTGGGCATATCTAAAAAAAGTTAAATTATTCGAATATCAGATATGTTACGTCTCCTAAACTATTGGATTCCGTAAAAGAAAAATATAAGGACAAATATTTTAACTATTTCAATTAGTTTAAAATGCCATTATATGCGGATCCCTTCTTTATGCAAGTTTGACTGGTGCTTGGTAAACTGATGAAAATTAGCGAGCCTACTTTTCTCATAGCACATTATTCTTTTGCGGATGTGAACATTTAGATTATTATAAAATAATATTTAATTATTTTGAGTAATACTTACCTATTGTCACTAATTACGTCTTGTATAGCTTTAGTCAATATTTCCTCTGTTAAAGTTTCCATTAACAGTGTTTTTCCTATTTTAAACTTAACATACTGTTCAGCATTAAACCATTGATCACCAAGCATGGGTATAGCAAGAAGCGGAACAGCCGCAGTTAAAGCTTCATCTGTCGATTGTAAGCCCGCTTGAGTTATAAACAATTTAAGTTTTGGATGTTCTGAAACATAAAGAAATACACAAATTTATAGTTTGAATCCGAATCCCTTTTTTATTTGTTTCGCTACACTACACTAAGTACCACTATTGCATGTAGTCTTGTTTTTATTATAGACCAAAACGGCACCGACTTTTAACTTTTCAATGTTTTGGAGTCAGTTTTTATATTAATTATTTTTTTGTAAAGACGATGCACACTTCCCTACTCGACGATATCTATATCTACCTATCTATACATATACATATTGCCATACATTATAATATGTATAATAATATTCTAGTCGAATCTGTAAATAAAATATTTTTTGGAAATCTTATTGAAATAGTCATTGTTATCGATACAGAGCCCAATCTATAGTTTATAAAAATGTTGTCAGTCTGTCAGTTTATTTATCTGTCTGGGAACGCATCACGAGAAATCCACAGGGCAGATTTTGATGAAATTTGGTATAATGATAGTTGGTTATCTGGGTCAACATATAGGATACTTTTTACTGCGAGAAAATATCTCATCTCTGAGAAATCTATACTAACTCTTAAAGGTACCTACCTCGCTAGTGTTTAGTATTTTATTTTTCATGAAACTTATCCGGAGTATACCTTTAATGTCCACTTAATATCCGTTGAGATAACTCCTTAGGTATTTAAACATAATCATTACTTCCCTATTAACTAGATAATGTACCGACCATAGATAAGTTATTTTTAAAAATCTAATACTACTAATAGAACCTGCGACTTCGCTCGCGCTAAAACTACGAAAATAAAAGTATTTAGCTTTTTGCGACTAGTAATTATGTATGAAGTCTGTCCGATTTGTTGACATTTATGATTACTGCTCCGCTCCCTTGAGTAGTAGCATGATGATTTATAGCCTATAGCCATCCTCAATAAATGGGTTATCTGATGCAAAAAGAAATTTTCTAATCGTGTTAGTAGTTTCTGAGATTAGCGCGTTCAAACAAACAAACAAACAAACTCTGCCTCTTTATAATATCATTATATATTATCTCGAATAATCTTATCGAGAATAGTTACTAAAGGATTATGACTATATGTATATGACGTATATTTCCTCTTATTATTTCAATAAAATGATAAAGGTACTTACGTAATAAGTCAGATTGAGGTAACCATTTAGAAATCTTGACATTGGGACTACGTCCCGGAAGTTCGTCTTTTTCCCATTTAAATAATATATCATATTTCAATTGAGAAAATACGTTTGTAAACACTTTTAATTTTTCTGGTGGAAATAACGATGGTCTGACATTTGTACCAAAGCTCACGTAAATGACACCATGTTTTGAAGAATCAAGGTAAAATTGCAGGTCCTGGTAAAGTTTGGCACAAAATCTTAAAAATATGCTTAATTTTGAGCAAGAGTGCATAAAAAAATATCTTTATTGATATAATTATATATAATACTTAGTTAATCTGTGATTTAAAATATAACTTAAGAACTATATATATACAGATCGGGCAATTCTTAAGATAGAAAAAACTTAGCAATTCTTAATTATTATCTCTTTCTATGACTCGTTCGAATATGCTCAGTTTCATCTCAATAGTAAAATTAATAAAAAAATTATAAATACCATAATATCCATAATAAACTATGATATAACAACTAAATGTATATATACTTTTAATAAAAAAAAGTTTTTATACCTGTGGTAGATCTTCTTTCTGTTTCTGATGTAGACCTCCTAAATATACTACATTAGGTGGAACTGGTCGATTGAAATCCCATATTGGATGGACATTTAAAAACAACATGTGTATATTTTTTTCTAATTCAGATATGTTTGGTATATTTGGTCCAAAATAACCGTTTAACATTTCTTGTTCTGTAGATACATGTTCCAATAATAATGTATCTATTGTAAAATGAATGTATAACTCAGATATTTTCTCCCATAGAGTCAAATTGAATAATCTCTTATGTAATGGATTGGGATAAATGAGAGCATGAGAAGCTGCACCTATCATTTCATAATTTCCAAATATACCACTAAAAGAGCTAAATGCAATTACTGGTACCCTATATAAATGAGAAAATATAAAGGCAGGTCTAACTAATGATTCCACAAAGAGCAAGTCAAATTTTCTATTTTTATCATTAATTAGTTTCTTTACTTCAAAAGACTTTAATTGTTCTTCAAAGACTTTCATCATCAAATCTGGTATTAATGTCATTAATTTTATTTGATCACTAACGTTACCATGCTTCTCTAAAAATTTATTCCATTGTGTATAAGATATATCGTGGACATCTATTTCTGTGAAATTTGGTGGTGTTTGGCCTTTAGGAAATGCTGGATCTGGTGTTATTACAGTCACCTCATGTCCTCTTCTAGCCAGTTCAATCATAACAGGTCGAAACACTACTTGATGACTTATTGACGGTAACGGAAACACACCAAGAATTTTTGCTGAATCACTCCTATAAATTATTACAGCAAAGCAAATTAATAATTTTGACGTAATCCACATTTTAACGATAAATTCAATACATAAATGATCAGAAATTGAAGAATCATATTCTATTTACGTTTCCGGGGTCATTTTATAGTGGAGAAGTAAAGTGGCACTGTACGATAACATTATCATCTATGATAATAATGCATTATTTTATACAAAGAGCATTGTATTTATTTAAAGTGAATTAAGTGCAGAAATTATATATACAAGTTTTCACGGCATTAATAAAAGAATTGAATTGAATTTAAATTGAATATAGTCTAGTTTCGTAACCAGATAATGTGTGTATTCAATAGTTCATAATTTTAATTTAATAAATATTTTATGTGTATAGACAATTCTTAAAATGAGACGATAAGATGAACGGCGGGCTATGAAGTGGCTATGAATTATATAAGGCTATGAATTAAAGTGTGTATGCAATTCACTCACGGTAGAAGTGAAACTTCTATGGCGAATATCGTAATTAAATTAAAACAAATCAATATAATTAAGTAAGGCATGTTAGGCATATTACAATCACATATTTATAGAATATCGTATAGGGAAAGAATATAATAGGTATTATATATTTGTCAGACAATAACCTGAAGGGAGGCCCGTGCCCTGCAGTGGGACGTTAAATTTATAAACGATTTATAAATGATAGTCATTCTTAGAATTTTTTAAATAATTTCTGGACAATGTTATTTAAATTAATATCTGGACAAAGTTAATTGAAATTGCTATTATTATCTTATATTTGAAATGGCAATAGTTTTGCGCATTTTGAAGTTAAATTGATAAATATAGTTAAAGCAACACTAAATAATACTATCTACAACAACAAAAATTATAAGAAATATATTTGCAATAACAGAACAAATTAATATTCAATTAAATAACTTTTTTTAATTGTTTGGTGCCATTTTCTTATTTTTTACAAATTATTGTATAATTTTGTGGGTAGATGTCTGTAGCAACTATTATCTCTCTCGTGACCATGATTGCTGTAAAGCATTCGAAACGTCGGGAACCAAAAATCAAAATAAATCCGAAAAAATAGTTTTATTTAAGAGGTAGAATAACTAAAATTAACTCAGTTAAACATTTTTTTAAAGTAATTTATGCATCCATAACAGAAGCATTCAGCAATTAACTGTTTCAAGGTTAACTTGGAAAAACTGCACCAAATGTCTTCTTTTCGATATTTCTAACAAAAAATGTAAAAACTTTTCCAGAACGAAATAGATACTAAAGAATTCTATTAACGTAAAAGTGTTATATACATATACTTAAAAAATCTCAGATTTTTACACTCAGTTTCAAATTAAATTTGCCTTTGTTACATTCATTTGTTATCGACATACTTAATACAATTACAGCCTTACCACACACTGGGTCTAATAAAGAAACGATTAAAGCATTACTTTAAAATGTTACTTGATACAAAATGTATTAACTAGTTATTTCTTTTGTCAAAATTTTGATATTCATGTTTTGTTTATATGTAAATTATTATTATTAAAAGTATTATAAAAGAAACAAAAATCTAGCAGCATTACATTGCAATGTAAATATCAAATAATTTTTTTTTTTAATAAAATTAGTTAAATCAAACGTACTCAGCCCTTTTTAACATCCCACTGCTGGGCACGGGCTTCCCTTCAGTACGAGGGGAATCAGGTAATAGTCCACCACGCTAGCCAAGCTGCAGATTGGCGGACTTCACGTCTTTTGAAAACTTGCTAGGTTCTCTCAGACATGCAGGTTTCCTCACAATGTTTTCCTTCACCGTTAAGACAAGAGGTAATCAGGATGTGCGAGACCCGGGATTTGAACTCGTTTCACTCAGTTTCCCAATCAGTGCGATACGCGATACCACTGGGCTACCACTGGCTTCTGCAATCAAACGTATTATCCACGAACTTAAATAAAAATACTACTTAAATACTTTATTAATTTTATTTTTAAGCAACAACATAACAGCACGTACTCGGTCGAAAATCCAGGTGAAGCGGGTTTTGCTAACACGGTGAAATAAAACACTGCGAGAAAACTTGCATGTCTCAGAGAACCTGATAAATTTAATTTTTTTTATTTTAACTATGTTGAAAAATCATTTTTTTATTTACAATTTTACTTACGAAAAAAAAAAGAAAAATAATAAGCTTAACCCTGATGACTTTCGTATCTTTGTATAATAGCTATTAAATATTGCAGAATTTTATTACCTACTAAATTAAAACTTAAAAAAAATACAAACGCAGTTAGGTTTGATAATAAAGTATTATTATTATATTATTATTTGAAATTTCATACGCATTGATTCATGCAAGATTTTTTTTTATTAAAACACAAATAGGTAGAATAAAATAAAGTTAAATTTTATACATCTACATACGGATACTTAATTTTCATACAAACATTATATTCTCATTTTCAATTCACATGAACAAAAAAAACACTAAAACCTTCTTAATTTTTCTTGTCCTTAACTTTTAAATTACTATTATTAAATTTCGATATAATATAACATAATAGATATAATATAAACACTGTAGTCAATAGTAGCGTTCCCAATAAAAGCATTACTAATTTTATTTCATAGTATTCGGTCCAGTCCATATGAGCAGCGGGTGCCTGTAGATGCAAAGCGCCGCCTTGTCTCAGTACATACTCTGTCCACCACACGGCGCGCTCTAAAGGCGACTGAGGTTGATCATGCATTATATTTTTTAGCTTAACAATGTTGTCACGATAACTGAAAAAAGAAAAAAAGATTAATTTACAGACCAGAGTCCAGATTCCAGAGTGCAGTCACAAATAGAGCAATGTTACTCACAATCAGTGAAACGCAAAATGATAAAGTTTTGTTTGAATGTAAGCTATTGATTCTAGTTTTAATTGATTATTTGTCTCTTCAGTCCCTGTCTTTCACCAGTCGTGTCGTATAATTGTCGTCCCAATCCCAATCGTCCGACTAGTGACTTATCCCTACTTCGCCTGGGTACCAAACAGTACGCTTGTATGCTACTCCAGGACATAATTTATTAATATACTAAATTTTAGATTCTATATGCATCCAGCCAGCGCACAGTGATGAAGTAACAAAAATACACACATATGCAGACTTTCGCAATAATTACAGAAGTCCAACTAGTGATTTACGATTACACTTTTACTCTTATACCTATATCTAACAACAGTAACCTATAGGTTACTAAAAGTCTTGTTTATCTGTGTACTAAATTTCATTAGTCCAGTCGTTACATCGTGAAAGAATAACTAGCAGACACAAACATATAGATACAAACTTCCAATTAGTTTTAAAAATTAATTGTTAGATCTAACCATACCTATTATCACTAAGTATATCTTCTATAGCATTAGACAATGCTTCTTCTGTTAAACTTTCCATTAACAACTTTTTTCCTATTTTAAGCTTAACATAATGTTCAGCATTAAACCATTGATCTCCAAGCATGGGTATAGCAAGAAGTGGAACAGCAGCAGTTATGGCTTCATCTGTTGACTGTAGACCTCCTTGGGTTATAAACAATTTCACATTTGGATGCCCTAAAACGTAAAAAATCCAGTAGTGAATATATCCAATAATACATCTTATTTCAAAACAATTAGTTTTAACGATTTTACTTAACACGTAGATCTTTTAAACTACTCAACGGATTTTAATGCAGTTTCCAGCAATAGATAAAGTGATTCAAGTAGAAAATTTTATATGTATAATACATGCATATATTATAGTACAGAAAAGCCGAGAAATTATAACATACAATAATACTAACCGTTAAAACGTACCTAGGGACGCACCTGAGTGAAGCGAGGGTAAGTCGCTAGTATATAATATAATAAAAAACTTAAAAAAAACCCGACTTCCAGGCACTAAAATGTAAAAAATAACTAAACAGAGGTTTTCATTTAGAATAGATACCTAATCAGACATTTTTGAAGTCGGTGCCAGCCCAGACAGAAGATCTAAGATTATATTATACCTGTAGTCTATATACTAACATTGTTTCTTTACAAATGTCAATTTCATTTATTGCTCTAACTACTGTTAAAAAAATGCTTACGTAATAAGTCAGATTGAGGTAACCATTTAGAAATCTTAACATTAGGACTGCGTCCCGGAAGTTCATCTTTTTCCCATTTAAATAATATATCATATTTCAATTGAGAAAATACGCTTGTAAACACTTTTAATTTTTCTGGTGGAAATAACGATGGTCTAACATTTGTACCAAAGCTCACGTAAATGATACCATGTTTTGAAGAATCCAGATAAGATTTAAGTTCCTGGAAAATTTAATAGAGTTTGAATATTTGTTTTAAATACAGTGTCAACCTATGTACTACCACTTTATATACTTATAATGCTCAAGAACCTTAACTGCCTCGGTTATATAGTGGCTAGCATGTACGGCTGCACATCCGGAGGTCCTGGGTTCGAGTCCCGGGTTGGGCCAAGGTTAGTTATTGAGTCGTTCTGTTTGGAATTTTATGAAAATTTCTAAGAATTGAATGTTTATTTTTATGTAAATCTTAACATTTCGTGGTATCGAAATATGAAAAAAGGATATTATAAAATGTTCATACCTGTGGCAGGTTTTTTTCCGGTTTCTGATGTAAACCTCCCAAATATATCACATTTGGCGGAACTGGTCGATTGCTGTCCCATATATGATGTACATTTAAAAACAACATATGTATATTTTTTTCTAACTCAGATAAACCTGGTATATGAGGTCCAAAATATTTCTTAAACATTTCATTTTCTTTTGACTCGTGACTTAAAAATATATTTTCTAATGTGAAATGAACACGTAACTCGGATATTTTCTCCCATAGAGTCAAATTGAATAATCTCTTATGTAATATATTTGGATAAAGGAGAGCATGAGAAGCTGCACCCGCCTTTTCATACATTTTAAATATATCACTCGCAGAACTAAATGAAATAACTGGTAATTTATATAAATGAGAAAATATTATTGCTGGCCTTGCCGTAGATTCTACAAAAAGTAAATCAAATTTTCTATTTTTATCATTTATTAGTTTTTTAACTTCAAAAGACTTCAATAGTTCTTTGAATACTTCCCTTATCAAATCTGGTACTAATGTCATAAATTTGATCTGATCACTTACGTTTCCATATTCCTCTAAAAATTTATGCCATTGTTTATAAGATATATCATGGACATCTATTTCTGTGAAATTTAGTGGCGTTTGACCTTTAGCAAATGCTGGATCTGGTGTTATAACAGTCACTTCATGTCCTCTTCTAGCCAGTTCAATCATAACAGGCCGAAACACTACTTGATGGCTTATTGATGGTATCGGAAACACACCAAGTATTTTTGCTGAATGACCCTTATAAATTGCAGTTAGTACGAAAATTATTAATTTTAATATCCACATTCTTACAATAAATAACATATATAAATGATAAATATTGAAATAGATATACAGTATTTAAAATATACAGAGTCCTTTTATTGTGGAAAAGTGAAGTGATGGTTGATAAAACATTATCTGCTATGATAATTATGCATTGTCTTGGACATATTTTAAAGTGGATTACATGTACTACACATGCAAAAGCTTGATAGATTGTAACTCCAATTAGACGATATTTTATATGAAACTGTATCAAAATAATAAATATTATTTCATTAAGGGACCAATCTAATACATACGTATTAAGATTTTCGATATAATATTATCAACTTACTCGCAAAATAAATACGTGAATAATAAATAACGTACTATCTGTATTCTTGGATCTAGTTTAATCATAATCTACTACTAAAATCATTATTGTTTTCTGAAAATTAATTTTGAGAGAGTTCAGTGCTTAAATAATTATATTTTCTTCCGTAAATTTTTCATGCGTTTTCTATTGATGCCCCATGCCTCAGAGAGCACGTAAAGCCGTCTGTCCTGCGCCTTAACTCTCACCGGTCATCGATATATTGTCCCATCGGACTTTGAGAGTAAAAGGAACGGAGAGTGCAATTGTCTCTGCACGTATACGTATATATCTCCTGCGCATCTGGCTAGTCTCAGTTAGATTGCCCGCCGGACCAAAACCGGTCAGGAGAACATTAATAACTAGTTATTTACATTCTCAAAATTTTCGTATTTGTTATTAGTTTACATATAAATTAAATATTATTTATAGAAGTATAGGAGAAACAAAAAACTTTGAGCATTGTATTGCAATTTAGATACGTATTTATCAGATAAAAAAATAGTTTTCGATAAAAAAAAATAACGAAGCGGGTTTAAACAAACTCATTTGCTAACACGGTGATATAAAACTTAAAAAACAAACTTTCACGTCTTATATAAATAAAAATGAATCACCGAAATGGATGTACGCGCATAACTTCCGATGGACTACACCAAATTGATTTTTTTCTTGTGTTTGTTATTGTTAGGACAATTTTTTTATAGATGAAAATTAAACGAAGAAATATTACTAAAATAAGTTTTTATTTAAATCTCATGATATGAAAAGTGTGTGAGTTAAATAGTTTAGTTTTTATCCCGGAAATTATTCCTTAAGGGGATGAGAATGGGGATGAAAGGTTGTATGAGGAAGCAAGCTAGGGCAAACGGACCCGAGCGAAGTGAGGGTGAGTCGCTATTTTATAATATTAATACGGATGCAGAATTTTATTACCTACTAAATCAACACTTAGAACAAATTACAAATGCAGTACCTATGTATATATAGTTTTATAGTATTGTAAGATTATTATTATTATTATTATTTGAAATGTTGTTTACAATTTTTGCATACAAGAAAAAAATATTATTAAAACAGAAGTAGGTAAATTTTAATACATGTATGTACATAATATTGGTACTTAATTTTTCTTGTCCTTAACTTTTAAATAACTATTATTAAATTTCGATATAATATAACATAATAGATATAATATAAACACTGTAGTCAATAGTAGCGTTCCCCATAAAAGTATTACTAATTTTATTTCCATGTATTCGATCCAGTCCATATGAGCAGCGGGTGCCTGTAGATGCAAAGCGCCGCCGTGTCTTAGAACGTACTCTGTCCACCACACGGCGCGCTCTAAAGGCGACTGGTTTTGATCATGCATTATGTTTCTAAGCTTAATAATATTGTCACGATAACTGAAAAAAGCAAAATGATTAATTACTAATATTATATACCAGATTTTACTGGGCAGTTACAAATAGAGCTATGTTACTCAGTGTAATGCAAAGTGATAAAGATTAGTTTTAATGTAAGCTATTAATTTTATTTTAATAGGTTATATAAGACTCTACGAACGCTAGTAACAGGAACATATACGCATTCTTTAAAGTAAAAAACGTAAAATTTTCTGATCACACACACAGATCGTGTAATTCTGAGTTTGAGTCTCAGGTCGGTCTTAAATTACTGAGTATTTTTTCAGAGAGCACGTTAAGTTTTCAGTCTTTATCTTTAGCTGTTCGTGTCAAGTAGTCGTCTCAATCCCAATCGTCGAACTATACCTACCTAGGAATATATACCAGTGCGCCGATAGACTCCAGGACGTAGTTTATCTATAAATACTGAATGCTATCTAAATCTGTCCAGCCAGAGTGATAATGTAACAAACATACACGCACATACAGATCTTGACAAACATGGTATACCGCCCACCGAAGTTGACCACCTCCAAATGCGTTTCTTGGCTTTGCCCCCGGCTAAAAATACCTAGCCTATGGTTTACTCCAAGTCATAGTCCGTGTACTACGTTCGTCCAGCCATTTCATTGTGAAAGAGTAACTAGCATGCATGCACAAATACAAAGATGGAAACTTTTGCATTTATAAAAGTAGTTCAATTATGTATAAAAAATAATTGTTAGATCTAAGCATACCTATTATCACTTAGTATATCTTCTATAGCATTAAACAATGCTTCTTCTGTTACAGTTTCCATTAACAACTTTTTTCCTATTTTAAACTTAACATACTGCTCAGCATTAAACCATTGATCTCCAAGCATGGGTATAGCAAGAAGTGGAACAGCAGCAGTTAGGGCTTCATCTGTTGACTGTAGACCTCCTTGGGTTATAAACAATTTCACATTTGGATGTCCTAAACCATAAAAAATCAAGTAGTGTTATATATCCAATAATACGTGTTATTCAAAAAAATGATTTTAACGATTTCAATAACATATTCATATAATAAAATACAAATTAAAGTAAGATAATTTTGATAAAAAAATTCATTATGACTAAATATTCAAAATTTACAGAAACTAGATTAATAATTTCTAAAATCTAAATAAAATATTGTTTCAAAGTTCTATTTTATTTTCATCCCCTAACTATTTTTTTAAAACCTAAGTAAACAGACAGACCTAAAGTATAAGATTAGATTGTGCTTATATTCTGTATACTAACTTTGATTCTTTACAAAAGGTCCTTTACATTTATGACTCTAACTACTACTGTAAAAAAATACATACGTAATAAGTCAGATTGAGGTAACCATTTCGAAATCTTGACATTAGGACTACGTCCTGGAAGTTCTTCTTTTTCCCATTTAAATAATATATCATATTTCAGGTTTGAAAATACATTAGTGAACACCTTCAATTTTTCTTGTGGAAATAACGATGGTTTTACGTTTGTTCCAAAGCTTATGTATATGACACCATGTTTCGAAGAATCTAGATAAGATTTTAGATCCTGAAAAATTTAATAACTTAAAAATTCATAATTTTATTTCCTTGCTTCACGCAGAATGAAGGAAGAAGATAAAAGATAATAGTACCATTTTTCGTTTTGATTTTTTTGTATTAAATACAACAAGTACCTATCAATAAATAATAAGCTAAAACAGAAAATATTTTTTTATCATTGCTTTCAGCTACTTTCATCAATTCATGCTTATATATAAATCTATATTTTTTAATGTATGAATATTTTATTCTTTATAAGTTCCTAATCACAGTTTTGTGCACTATACTTTATATACAAGAAGATCCACTTAATATATGAGGATAAAAAATATCTTCAGTTACTCTGAGACCAAAAACACAAAATAGTTACATGCTAAAATTACACACAATTTATGATAATGTTAGTAAAGATTTCAATGAAATCTTTGCATTAAAATGAAAATAAATATTAAATTTTTAGAAATTCTGTGGTATCGAAATATGCCCCCCCAACGTGCGTTCAACTTGTCGTGTTAAGTCAGTAGTGCCCGGCAATCCAGCCGGCCGCGAAGCCAAGAAACGCACAGGGAGGTGGCCCACTTCGGTGGGCGGTGGAAGATGGGCCTCTTCGGTGGACGGTGTACCATGCGGATTGCTCCTGGTACTTCTCTGATAGCAGAGTGGACCTTGGAGCAACCCCATGGTTATGGTCTGCTTCGGCATACCTGCCGTCGAGGCGTCGTAGCTGAATGCGTAAGAGATCCTGCGACGCCCCATTAAGACGGGGGAAGGTTTTCTTGGGTTTTAGTGGGTAGTACTGGCTTTGCCGGTGAGTCCCACACCTCGTGCGTAAATGCATTTCCCAACGCTAAAAAAAGTTGTATCAAAATATGAAAAAAGGATACTATAAAATATTCATACCTGTGGCAGGCTTTTTTCCGGTTTCTGATGTAAACCTCCCAAATATATCACATTTGGCGGAACTGGTCGATTGCTGTCCCATATAGGATGTACATTTAGAAACAACATATGTATATTTTTTTCTAACTCAGAAAAACTTGGTATGTGAGGTCCAAAATATCTCTTGAGCATATCTTTTTCTTTTGACTCGTGACTTAAAAACATATTTTCTAATGTGAAATGAATACGTAACTCAGATATTTTCTCCCATAAAGTCAAATTGAACAATCTCTTACGTAATGCATTTGGGTAAAGGAGAGCATGAGAAGCTGCACCCGCCATTTTATACATGTGAAATATACCACTCAAGGAACTAAATGAAATTACTGGTATTTTATATAAATGAGAAAATATTATTGCTGGCCTTGCCGAAGATTCTACAAAAAGTAAATCAAATTTTCTATTTTTATCATTTATTAGTTTCTTAACTTCAAAAGACTTCAATTGTTCTTCGAAAACTTCCATTATCAAATCTGGTACTAATGTCATTAATTTGATCTGATCACTTACGTTTCCATGTTCCTCAAAAAAATTATGCCATTGTTTATAAGATATATCGTGGACATCTATTTCTGTGAAATTTGGTGGCGTTTGACCTTTAGCAAATGCTGGATCTGGTGTTATAACAGTCACTTCATGTCCTCTTCTAGCCAGTTCAATCATAACAGGCCGAAACACTACTTGATGGCTTATTGATGGTATCGGAAACACACCAAGTATTTTTGCTGAATGACCTTTATAAATTGCAGTTAGTACGAAAATTATTAATTTTAATATCCACATTCTGACAATAAATAAAATCTATAAATGTTGAATATTGAAATATATATAGTCCTTTAACTGTGGAAAAGTGAAGTAATTGTTGATAAAATATTATCTGCTATGATAATAATTATGCATTGTCTATTTTACATAAATGTTTCATTACGTAATAAAAGCCAAAGTACGAGGAGTAAAACAGTAAAATATAGAGTAAAGAATATGTTAATAAAGTTTGCTAGATTTTGTCAAATTTTTCAAAATGTGTTAGCTTAGGAATTGTGTAAATAAAAATAAATCTTTATCTTATCTTATTTTTTTCTTACTCAAATTAAAACAAATAAACCTTAAAATGAACCTTAGTATTGTCAGCTTTTATTGTATTTAGAAGATTTGGGTATCTATTTGTTGTCTGTGCGTTTTGAATAATATATTAAGAGGTTCAGTCTCTACGGATTTTCTCGTACGTATATTTAAAATTGGCTTATTTATTTTTTATCTTAGAAATATGGGAAAATTTCTAAGTGCTACAGATGTTGACTGATTATCATATAGAAAATTTCCTATTTTCTATTACAAGCCACAAAGGAAACAACAGTTCTTATAGCATTATTATATTAATACCAGTCGGGCTAAATCGAATCAAGCAGCTGGTGAGCGCCAAACATATTTCAAGCTAAGATTACGCCAATAACGGCTTCAAGACATTAGTAACAAATGTCCACCAATACATGTCACAAGCAATACCCACTGGCATGGAAGGCTTATGAAATATAATGCACAATTATTATTTATATAATATGTTATTGCAAATCCTCGAATTATTATTAGACATGTTAAGATTTTCAAAATAAATGTAAGCTCAATGAGACGTTTTTTTTTTCAATTTTAAGCATCAAATCTAAATGATGTGATGCTTAAAATGTAAAGCGAAAGATGAAAGAAGATGAAAGATGAAAAAAGGTGCCTTTGTCATAATGTTTCGGTTATTTTAGTTAGGGCTATTTATAAGTTTCATTAGATTAAAATTTTACTTTACTGAATTACGCGGTACATTATGATGTTTTAGAAATTTTTTAACCCTTACCCTGCAAGTTATTTTTTCTTCAATATAATATACACATACGAGTACAACTACATATTATTATAGTAATTTTTCATAACTTTAACACCTACAGGTAAATTTCTAAGAAATCTATTATTAACTGACACGCCGGCATGTCCGCGGTCGTGGAGGGATTAAATACATTATTTCATATGTAAAAACAAATGGTCGATACTAAAATTTGATATTAAAATTGCGCTGAATATTGACGCAACTATTCAGCATTCGTCATACCAATGTCAATGGATTGATTAATTAATTTCTATATAATAACAGGATTTAACAAAGCTTATCTGTTATTTTGTGGGAACCTTTTCCTGTTCAGAGAAAATAGGTATGTTTTGATCCGTGCTAATTTCAATGAGTCGTTATTATGTTAAAAAACCTCGTTGTTTCTCCATAAGCCCAAAACTCTATTACTCGATTTTTTTGGCATCACCCTTTATGTTCGACTTTTAGAGGTTCTACTTTTGATCTTATATTTTGCCAATTTTAGGACTTAAGTTTATCGTAGATGTTTTTCACAATCTAGTACATGGCTAAGGAAAACATTTTGCAATTACGTACTCAGCCCTTTTTAATGTCCTACTGCTGGGCACGGGCCTCCCTTCAATGCGAGCGGGGATCAGGCCTAAGTCCTCCATGCTGGCAAGTGCGGGTTGACAGAATTTCGTCTTTCGAAAACTTGACTTTGACTTGACTTGAAAATTAGGTTCTCTCAGACATGAAGGTTTCGTCACGATGTTTTCCTTCACCGTAAAACAAGTAGTAATCATAATATTAGAAATGATTCTCGCATGAAAATATCACAGGTGCGAGACCCGGGATTTAAACCCTCTACCACTGCTTGTATATTATGAAGGTTTAATAATTTTTATATACTACATGCTAGACAGTCATTACTATGATTTCTTCATAAAATAAGACGATTTTACTATTACGTGTGTTTTTTGTAGAATAACAAAAGAAAAATATAATTGATCATAGTTTACGATTCAGTGGATAGCAATAAGAGGTAGCAACTTCAAACAAATCGGCAGCTTGGATATTCTCCAAACAACTTTAGATATGCGAAAAAGATCCGTCTCGCCGCTTTATTTAATAAAACAATAGCGATGTGTCGTGTGAAAGTTTTTAGATGATTTGGAAGAAAAATATCTAGAATAAAATTCTATATAGTAAAAGGAGAGATTGAATGAACATACAAATTTAATTTATTACATTAATTCATTCAATTCATGATACATTTAATTCATGGACACTAAAAGTATAAAATATTATCATCAATACAAATGCACTATCCCTACATAGTAGTAGAAGGACTAGCGACATACGTTCGCCTTGCTCGGGTACTTATCTAAGTGTCTAACAATAACCTATCTGTTACTCCAAGTCACACTTACAAACTTTTGCATTAATATTTCATTCCCCCGAACATATTTCATATTTGTAACTGCGGTAACTCTCGCGGTCAGAAAATAAAAGCAATATTAAAAATTGTCCCTAATAAAAAATCATACATACGAGTATCTTATTAGAACATACAATAAATTATTAACACAAAAAGGGCTGCTAGCAAAATTTTGTACTTTAGATATGAAATATTGTTCCTAAAGCTAAGCTTCTAATGCTTCAATCAATAGAAAAAAATATGCGTATATAACACTTATTTTCTTTCCGAGTCAAATCAAATAATAAACTACTTACTCTAAATATTTATTGTTTTCATCTCCTCACGCAAGCATTATTTGTAAACTAAATAAACATCGAGAACATTTCTTTTCTATCAATAAAATATTATTCAACAATTCATGATTTCTAAAAGTATCAAATATTGTTAAAATATAACAAATAGAAAGAAAGAAGTGGTAGAAGAATTCATTTATTGTTTAATAAATCACTAACAACTGGTGTAATGCCTGCTGTATGGAAGCGATCGTATGTGGTTCCAATATTCAAATCGGGCGACAAACATAATATTAAGAATTATAGACCGATATCGAAACTTTGTGTAATAGCAAAAACTTTTGAAAAAATAATTTATGATTCTATTTATCCCTTACTACGTTCTATCATACTCGAACAACAACATGGATTTGTAAACCACAAATCAACTGAGTCTAACCTCTGCGAATTGGTTCAACGTGTGTTGTCATCTATGGATGAGGGTTACCAGGTGGATGTCGTGTACACTGACTTCTCTAAGGCATTTGACAAAATATCTTACAATATATTACTAAAAAAGTTGAGAGAAGCCGGTGTACATGGTGATCTACTTCGGTGGTTATGCTCATACCTTCGGAATCGTAGTCAGGCTGTAACAGTCAAGGGATATTGCTCTTCTTTCGTTCCTGTTTCATCAGGTGTACCTCAGGGGTCTCATCTTGGTCCTCTGCTTTTCAATTTATATATTAACGACGTCACCAAAATAATTAAACATTCTACTATTCTTTTATACGCAGACGATATGAAAATTTGTAGAAGGATAGCGTCTCCACTAGATTGTTCACTTTTGCAAGAAGACCTCAACAGATTATGTTTGTATTGTAAAAATAATTCTCTTTATTTAAATATTAATAAATGTAATATCATATCATTTTCGCGGAAACGCAATCCTACTGCATATGATTATCGATTTGACGATGTATCCATAAATCGAGTGACTGAGGTGAGAGACCTGGGTATATATCTGGACAATAAGTTGACCTTTAATTTACATATTAACAAAATAATAGCTAGGGCTTATCGTATGCTTGGCTTTGTGTTTAGAACTTCTAAAGATTTTAACCAACCTACCACCTTGACACTTCTTTATAATTCATTTGTTCGACCTATACTTGAGTATGGCTCTACAGTTTGGAACCCACATTATAAAAAACAAATAAATCGCATAGAAAGTGTTCAGAAAAAATGTATTAAATTTAAGCGTTTTAAGTACGCAATGTTGGATCAAAGTAACGACGGATTAAATATTATGTCACTCGCGGATAGAAGGCTGATCAGAGACCAAGTGTACCTATTTAAAATAATAAAAATCTTATAGACTCCCCGTTTCTCTTAAATTGTATAAATTTTAAATGTCCCAGATTAGCGGCACGCAATCAGTCTCTATTTAATCCTTCAATTACCCGAAGCAAGTATGCGCAGAATATTTTTGTCTATCGAGCCTGCACCAACTACAATAGTAAATTTAATAATGTAGATTTTTTTAAAACTGAGAACATAGATTGTTTGAAAAAGATGTTAGTGAAATGTTTAAACAATAAAGAGTAATATAAATATTATAGTAGATAGTAATAGAGAGATTATTCGTTATTGTTTTAACATGACTTGTGCTCTTTATGTTACATTTATAAGTGGAAACTTCGCTGGTTTATGTACTATGTATATCGGATTAACTTTAAGTATTATTGTACTGTATGTTTCCCAAATATTTTAAAAATAAAAAAATAAAAAGAACTAGCAAATTATCCTCGCCTTGCTTACATCCTTAAGTGTCTAAAAATAACCTATTAATTAGTCCAAGTCACACATAGTTTGCATTAGTTCATTCACCCGAACATCCATACTAATATTATAAAATTGTTAGTGTTTGTTTGTTTATCCTTCTTTCACGTGAAAACAGAACGAGCGATTGGCGTGATTTTTGGTTTTAAGATAGTTGGAGGACTGGAGAGTGACATAATCTACTTTTTACCGCGGAAGATCGTGTACTTCCCACGGAAAACAGGTTATAATACAACCGAAAAAAATATTTATGATTAGAATTACTTTAAACTTGGTATTAATGTTCTTCAAGACAATTAAATAAATACGGTATGATTTCCAATTCACCAACAATGAATCTTATGCTTTCTATAGTAAATTATTACTATTATAGTATTCATTTTTATGAACACCTTAAATAAATAAATTAATA